AACCCAGGCCGTGAATTAAAGCACTGTTGGAGAATCAGGAGGTTGTGACTTCAGAGCCGTGGTCCTGCGGAAAAAGACAGGGCAGATTCCTCTATATGGGCTCTAAAAATTTAAAAAAAAAAAAAAAAAAAAAAAAAAAAAAAAAAAAAGTCAAAGGCTTCTTTAAAACATGCATTTTGTGAGTGGCAGCCCTGGTGGGACCCCACTTGCCTCACCTCCCTTCCACAGCAGCCCCAAGGCTGCCATAAATCACACTGGGCTGTAATAACCACACCGGGTTGTAGCTGTGGTGATGGGGAGATCAAACACCACAGAAGTGGGAGCCAACGTTTTTCCCTGGCTCCAGGCCCTTCTGGGGAGTGCCTGATGATAAGGAGCTGGTGTGGCTCTGTGCAAGCCACCTTTTAATGGCCCACATGGCACAATTGCCTTGGAGTTGGTGATAATGTTAACCTATCCCAAATCTATAATCTATTTTACTATAATCTACTGTAGATTGGGGATAGTCTGACAAGTTATGTTCCCTTCTCACAGTTCCTGGCCACTCAAGTGGAACTGACTGCCCTGGGGGAAGGAGATGGGGCACAGAGTGAGGGAATAGGCTGCTCCTGGATGCAACAAAGTGGGGTCCATACATCTGAAAAAACCTTCAAAGCCCATAAAAAACGGGCAAAAGTAGATAGCAGGGCACCAGCTTGTGCTAGGGGGGATCCTGGCTCAGTTTTTATGCCTTCTTCTGTCCCCAGGAGGGCCAGAGCAGCTGCCTCAGTCCCTGCACATCTTACCCTGTTTCTGTCTGGAGGTCATATCGTGGGTTTCCAGCAGAGGGGGAGATAGGATCACTTGTTCCACCACCCAGCTGTGCTTGTTCTCTCCTGCATTTCTGGAATTAAGGAAGAATTTAAGAAAACGCAGTGATATTGATCCCACATCCAAAAAGCTAACAATTTCACTGACCAGCAAAAAGTGTTGTTCAGGAGGAGCCCATGTAAGTCCCCATGGGGCTCCTTCAGCAGTTTTAAGATCAGCCCCATCAAAGCACTGAAGCAGCCAAGAAAACAGATACTTGAATTGTTTCAGCTTTTTTATCTGTCCAAGCTACAAGGCTGTGTCTGCAGTGCAGCCCTGATCCCACAAACACTTCAGTGCATACTTCTCTTCTTGCAATAGAGCCCATATAATTGCTTGTGTGCTTATAGAATCATAGAATAGTCTGGGTTGGAGGAGACCTTTAAGATCATCGAGTCCAACCACTGACCCAGCAATGCCAAGTCCAACAGTTTCAGGCTGTTTACTCTGGTAGAAGGTATGTTATCAGTTCAGCATCCATTGATATCAAATGAGGACTGACATGTCCAGTCCTGCACTACTCACGGGCATGTGGCCTTCAGGGCTGGAGAAGCATCACCCAGCACAGAGCATCTGCTCAGCAGCATAAAATACAGCAAACTCATTATGTCTGTCTTAGACTTTTTAATGCTCCTACTTGTGTCTTTGTTTGCTAAACAACATAAAGCCACCTTCCAAATCCAAACCCTTCTCCTGAAGGCATGTGTGCTGGGATTTTGAAGCGCAGAGATTAAAACCTTGATAACCAGCTTTGCTTCCTGGGCAAAACAGAAGTTATTTTACAAAGCTCCTGGTCAACAAAAGCTCTCCAGCTCTTGCAGAGAGGATGAGCTGAGAAAGCCCATGCGTGCTGGGAAAGCACGTGTGAAATGGTGAACTTGCCAAGGGCAGAGCTACAATTCCTAGGCACAGTTTCTTCATCTTGCCACAGCTAACATATCTATAGCCTATGTATATTGCAACAATCTCTGATGTTTAAAAAAACACCACAAAACAACTCACCCTACCTCTGGATGAAAGGCTGTCTGCTTGGAACTCTTCCCTGGGGAACCATGAGAGAAGAAACAGCACATGGCAGGTGTCAGTCACATTGACAGCAAGAAGCTTGGATACAACTTTGGGGGTTATGGTGTATGGAACAGAATAAAAAAGAACGTGACTGTCACTAGATGTTCACAGTCTTCAAGTTAAGAACAAAATTCAGATTTACAGTATTGCATGAATAATGGACTACAAAAAATTATAAGTGGAATATTCCCATTAAAAATAATGATTCCTTTAAGTAACTGTATCCCCTGCAGTGAAAACCAATATACCAGAAATAAAAACCTACATATAAAGAAAGCAAAAATGGAAATTGCTGGACTACAACAAAGTTCTGTTAGCTCTTGTGGTGTAACTTCAGCCTGGAGTCAGGCTCATGGAGACAACCACAGTTCCAGTGTGTTGTTCAGGGGCTGTTCAAAAGATCAACACAGTCTTCAGGCAGAAATTAAATCCACTTGTTGGGCCAAAAACATTTTAAGTGGAGACTTTTTGAAGTGGAACAAAATCCTGTGTTTTCTATCAGAGAGGAAAAGTGGGTGCCCAAGTTTGTTTACATTGAGCTAATCTGCTCCTGATTTTAGATACTTAAAAGCTTCAAGTAAGGTTTGTGTCTTCTAATTAGAGGTTGCCAGTGAAGGGTTCTTCAGTGTTGGGGAAAAAAAGCTTTGCAATGGCAATAGTCCCAAAGTGAGGATGAAAATTCTCACCCAGGCTTTGCTGCTCATCCCAGCTCACTCACAGGTTGTGTTTCCATGCTCCTGAAGAGCCCCAGGATGAGTTCATGGCTCACCAACCTGAAGGCGACTGCAGCGTTATCAACAGCATGGCTAGCACTGCAAGCCAGAGCTAGGAGAGTTAATGCAGACTTAGAGGCAAGGATCCAACACATATTTTAGACAACTTCAATTCGTAACATTATAAATGGAACCATAGCTTTTATATATATATATCACTTTTGGAACATAACACCTTTGAGAGAGGTTCTTTAATTTCACCTCTAACGCGGTGTGCTTCGCTCGCCGCTTAAATCTCTCTCCCATGCCTCCCCCCCAGGCGACCTCACCTATCAGTGCAAAATTGTTGTTGTGCCTGATTGCACAAACCAGCCCAGCCTCTTACCTGGGAGACGTGCCACAAATAACTTTCATTATATATATGGTGTGTTTCTGATACTGCTATCAGAAAAGAAAAGATATAATGCTTTGACAGCTGTGCTGAGATGCTGAGGAGGCACTTGACTGTGCAAAGCAGCCTCTTATATCAAAGGATGGCAGAAATTTGGAACACTGGGAAGCAGACAGATTCAGCACACAGCCAGGGAGGCTCCCACCATGGGGACAGACAGGTCTATCCCAACCAGACTTTTATAAGCATTGCTAAAATCTTTTCATGTCATTCTGTCTTCACAGCACCATGCAGAGAGGCTGTAATGTCTACTAGGGAGGCGATGATGGGGGTCATCTCAGGCCAGCTTCAATCCCTTGCTTTTCTCCCAGGCAAAAGCAATCTAGGTTTAATAGTATATTAAAAAAAAATATTAAAACCCTCATTTGAGTTGTTCTTGTGTAGATGAAGAAAGGAGAAGGACTTCCTGAACTCATCTGCAGTACATTAGAAGGTCAGGGACTACATTAACATGCTCTGGAAGGTCACAAAAGGCAGTTTTCATTTCATTTCACTACAGAGTTTACCCATGTGCTCCATTTCCTCTTGTTTAGTAGAGACAAGCCCCAGGGCCACTCTCAACTTCAATTACATTAAAATAACACGCTAAGAGGTCCTTTTGTTTTGATAATTTACAATATCAGCCATTGTAAATGAGCTTTGCAATTAATTTAGGAAATATACAAAATGACACTTCTATCCTGGTCTTTTGTGGACAGAGGACAATTCACTGCCTGCTTAACAGCTATAATAGCCCAAGACCAGATTTTCCTACAATAATTACACTTCCTCTTGAATTTACTGAGGTTCAAGCTTCCAGTTGTCTGCTGGGAACACTTCATTTATGTGTGAAGCACCTCAGCCCATTTATGCAGAAGAAAAGCAAGGAGGTACAGACCCTTGTTTGAACACGGAAGCCTCCACAGATCTCTCATTTTTAATCTAATATCTAATGAACTTATAGATTCTTTGTGCCTTTTTATACCTGCCCAGAAACACTCAGGGAACTTTGCAGGCTACAAGCAAGTTCAAGGAAACAGGTATGGGGCAACTTGGACTATAGCATGACCAAGTGTCTTTCCAATGATCATTCTTTTCTTTCTTCCAACACATGAAAACTAAATACTCTCATCTTGAGACTATGACCCTAATCTGTGGCATAGTGGCTTTGGACGCTGTTGCTGTCCTCTGCTTGTGCACATCCACTACTTCTGTCTTAAGATCCCAACCAGCCAAAAGCAGTAGAGCCACTGCTGACAGAGGGGTTCACACAGCTTATGGGATAGGATACAATTTTGGATTTAGAGTGTCTCTTTTTCACCCCAAATCTCTTTAGAAAACCGAGATTTAGGTTCTCAAGTTGCAGTGACTGTGTAGAACCATCCAGGTGATAACTCACATCAGCTTTGGAGACAGGACTCTGTCTTATGGAGATGGCAGGGGGAAGAAGCTGAATGGACATTTCCTTGATGTATCTGGAAGGTACATCTTCCTCATAACACAATTTTATAAATAATCTCCAAACTGCTGCACTGGGAAGCTTTTCCCTGCTCAGCAAGCACAAACACCAACATTGCACTTAAATCACAGTGGGAAATAAAACGAGTTTCCTTCTCCTTCACATGAAAAGAAGGGTGCAGACTGGGCAAGAAACATGCTGCTGCAGTAGGATTTGATTGACTTCAATGTGGAAACACTTGCACAGTTTAACATATTCCTTTGCCAGAAAACTGGGAATTTGTTTCCAAAAGAGCAAAGGCCTCCAGGATGTGTCCTGGTTCTTTGCCATTTGATCTGCGCTGTCGTCAATGATTTACCACCGTGCCGTGGAGGCCGGTGGGCTCTGTGCTGCTTCTAGCAGTGCTTGTCCCACGGCCTCCTGGAGCCTACAGCTTTGGTCTGCAGCTAATCTACAGCAAACATTTACATATGGAAAAACAATGTGGTGTCAGCTTTCTCCTCTGATTCTCTCTATATGCTCGCTGTCTGTAACGGCACGTGGGGAGCTCCAGGCATCGCCTTCCCAGAGGTAAGTCTGTCCCCCCAACAACTTCAAAACCAGGAATTATGGGCAGGTCAGTCAGCACATCCATTTTGTCCTGACTTGAGGCATGTGCACCCTGTGCTCTCTGTGAACAGCTACCAGACACACACAAAAAATGCTGGCAGTTGTCCAAAGCCCAAAGCTCCGCATCGTGATTCTTTCTTTTATGAACTGTTTGCACAACAGTTTTTCTTTTACAGATGACTATTAAGCCTTCTCAAACTTCCTTAGAAAAATTACCACACGGGTTTTGAGCACTTGGAAAGGATTCTCTATACAGGATGATTTACAAGTGAATGTTTTTTCAGATTCTTTTTCCTTATAATTATTTTGCAGCTGACAATGTGAAGTTAACAACTGCATATTTATAACCCAATTTTCAATCCAAGCCAGATCTTCATACCTCTGTATTTTTTCCCCCTGAAAAATATTGTTAACCTATGTGAGTGTCACTGAAGCTCTGAAGGAAGGGAATAAACAAGGTACCTTTTTCTGAAGCTGTAGTGTATTGATAGGAAAATGGTTGGATTATTTTTTTTTCTCTACAGCTATTAATTTCAGACTTGTTCTAAAGGCAAATATGATTTAGAAGGATCAAAAAAGGTATCAGTGATAATTGGAACGTGGAGACAAGGAGAAGGCAGAAAGGAAAAAAATGTGGCAGTGATACACTTAATTATGAAGGCTTATTCCGATAATCCCTTTTGAAAATGAACAAAGACAAGATTTTTGATGTTTGATGAACTTATCAAAGAAGGCAGAATAATAAAGAGGCAAATGTAAAATCCAATGGAAGGTGAGCCAATCCAGTACTTTGTGCAGTGCCAAAGGATACAGCCCACAAAATCCTGCTGTCAGAGCAAAAAGGCATCGATACATACGTGTTCTCCAGCTCTGTGTTCCTCTGCAGGCTCCTGTTGTTTTCCTGGAGACATGGTGGCTTTTTATCTCACACGCTAATCTGCATCCACGGGCTGTCCTGCTCAGCTGTTGTGGCTTTCATTTAGTAGTTTCCCTTCTACAGCCTCTGATGAATCCCCAGCGTGCTCCGTACCTCTGCTAATTACCAATATTTCTCTTTGGACTGCAGTCTCCTAAGTAAAAAAGACTGCTCATTAGCTAATCACCATAATAATAATAATAATAATAATAATAATAATAATAATAATAATAATAATAATAATAATAATTTGGCTCAGAACAACCACTCAGAATGCTTTGAAGGCTGTGGCAAACAGAGTGGTACCGACAGGCCACAGATTGCTCCTCAAGACAAAGAAACTTGTCATACAAAATAAAGATTGCAGGAGTGGGGACAAAACTAGAGATCCTAATGACTGAACTGGGAGGCAGGAGAAGTATTTTCTTGCTGTTGTATAATGATATTTGCTGTATGATCCAAAGGCCACTCTGCTACAGGACCCTTGCCATTTTCTGCTTACATTGTTCCTTTAGGCTTTTCCCTCTTCACAGGATTTACATATTTCCTTTTAGAAATAGTCAACCAACAGATTCCCATGGTCAACATGGCTTTGGACCTTGCCTCCTCAGCACTGTTAGTGCAGCCATTCCCACTGCTCTGCAAAACCCATGGGAATCAGACCCTGCTTTCACACTTGTCTGGAATACTACTGACCAATATTGACCATGAGTTCACAAAAAGGAGGTAAAAACAGATTTCAGAACAGGCCTGAGGTGATAAACATCACTACTCCTGGAGTTTGTGATGTGCTTCTGAGAAGAAATAAAAACAGAAAACCCTTTCCTTAAAACCTGTCTCTTCTCAACATTCTTTCCATTTAGTACTCAGTTGTGTTTGGTCTCACACAGATGATGTACATCTATTTTATTTCAATCTGCCTGTTGAAAAGGGTTAGTATCTTTTGGGAGAGCAGAGAACCCAAGACAAAATCCTCAGGTCCTGCACCTGCTGTCCTTGATCAGTTCTGATGGTGAATACATGGATGGGGCATCTCAGGTAGCACAGCCCCCTGTGCTAAGGGATGCTTCCCATTTCCTACAAAACAGGTTCCTGGTGGAAGAACACCCATACAGATTGCTTTCTCCTTGCCAGCCTCCAGCCCTCCTGAAAATACAACTTCAATGACCTCAGACCCCTGTTTCTCCCCCTCCTTAGGAGAAGCAGCAGAGATGTTAATTCTCCAGCTCCTGTCGACTGTCAGCTGAGCCAGTGGTCAGGATGGACTGATTGCTTCCCTTGCCAAGAGAAAAAAGTAAGACTCCACTGTAATGTATTCATTTATCTTCAGATGTGTCTGTGATGAGGATGTACACACATTAATAATATATATTATACATATTCATCATTCTGAAGCATCCAGTAAACTCATCCAAATACGATGGAGATGCTCCTCTGCTAGAAAAGCTCTTACTTACCCTGGTGTAAACTGGGGAATATACTCATTTCAGGCAGCAGAACAGCAAAATGCAAAATCAAGGCAAATGGTGGAAGAATCAGGCCAGGATATTTGCCCAAGACTTTCTTCCTCTTCTATCTCAGATTTAATTAAATATCCCCTGATTCTTAATGCAAATATTCCAATGAAAATAAATTAAAAGCAGCCTTCATTCATCAGCTCCTGTTCTCAATTTTGTATATAATTTCACATATGTCTTCACAATTCAATAATTTACTTTCAAATACCTGACATACTTTTGTTTTCTACTGAGTTTATATCCCTGCATTTTTAATCCTTGTGCTTATAACCAGTACATTATTTGGCTCTTCACTCATTTTTTTTCCCCCTCTTAGTTTCAAGAGCAGCAATTCTCATTAATAATCCATCAGAAATGTGGCAGGATCAGTGTTGTAATTAGTGTCTGTGTCCATCTAAGCCTGTTACATTCAAGGACAAAGCATGCAGAGCTGGAAAAATTCCACGGTAGAAACCAGGGAAGGTATTTTTAAATACAGTCACCCCACCCCCCTCCAAATTCACCTGTATGAACTCCAAGCCAATCTCCTGTGCTCCCACCTCTCCGCTGACTCTCCGCCTCCACGGGGCTGTGGGCTACACAGAAAAGCCACAATATAGATAAAAGTGATAGTTGGAATTGCTTTATGGAATGCAGAGGTGATGTCTCTGGGGGATACAAGGCAGGTGTTGGTGGTGTTCTTCTCTCCTGTGTGGTTTAGCACCGGTACCGGAGGCTGGTGCAGCCGGCGGGGTTTGCTGGGCAGCGATGTGCTGGGCACCTCTGGGGTGAGGAGGCTTGTCGTGCTGACACAACCTGTGCTGGGAGCCCTGGCTGTGGGGTGGACTTTCAGTGCCAGGAAACAGGTGAGTGAACTGGGCACAGACTCCTGCCCAAGGAGGTTTTGGTCCTAGCTGGCCGGAGCTGGGACTCTTTCAGTCCCCTGCCGTGGACAGAGCTTTGCCAACATGTGCCCAGCACAGCCAGGGGGGTGGTGAACCCCTGAAAGACAAAGCAGTTTTCCCCATTATTTTTCCCCCCACACTCTCTAGAAATCCATTCATGCTATGCTTATATTTGGATAGAAAAGAATGCTCCATGACTTGGAAAAGGTTAATTTTTCAAGTGGAACAAAGACAGCAGAAATACCCTGCTCTGAAGGCTGTGCTACACCCTCACACTCCCCAGCACGGGCACCACTGCTCCCACAGCCACCACTTGCCCCCCTTGCAAAAGACCCAGTTCAATCATTAATCCAACCAGCAATCTGTTGGGGTGATGCATTTATTTTTAGCCATCCCCAGCTCAGAGGATTGGGCTGTCACACGGCTGTCTCTGAAAGTCTGACTAGCCTTGACAGATTTTTGGTTTTACACAAAAGGCTCAAAACTCCCATCTTGAGCATTTAATGAAAATCCCATTGAAATTTAGAAACGCACCAGCTCTGTGACCAGCTCATCAGCTGGAGCAGGTCATCACCATTCCCTGGAGGGAAGAGTCGTGATTCCTGCCATGAATATCATGTCAAGGCTTTCTCCTCACTCCTAGAAGCAAAAGCACTTCCAAGTCACCTTTCATTCAAGCATCAATTCTTGAGCTATAATCAGTGCAATAAACTCCCCAGATACCTCCTCCAATGGGAAGAGGAGCCCTTTGACCAGATTAAGCTGACTTCCCTAAGCAAGCAGGAGAAGTTATTGCTCCCTGTAGCTCCCTTCCAAAAGCATGATTATAGATAACAAAATCAGGCCTGTGAGGAGATCTCTACTTCATTCCCATTCCATGGCAGCACTAGGGAGTGGCTGGCTTGGACTCCAAGCAGTCCTCACTCCAGCTTGCAATGGAAAACTACCTCCCAAGGAGCTGGGAAAAGCAAGCTCCCAATGGAGAAGTGCTGTGTTTAACACCCAGTGTGGCTTCTTGTGGCCCTGAGACGTGGGTGGAAAACAACACAATGAGCACAAGCTGCCAAAAAAGTATTTCTGGAGGGCAGAGAAGTGATGGCCTGTACCTGTGTGCTTTAGGTCGCTGCATTAAACGGCACCTTGTGTGCAACGGAGAGCCAGACTGCAGAGATGGGTCTGATGAGGAGAACTGTGAGGATGAAGATATTGAAAGCCCTTGTGAAGATCTGTTTCCAATCCCAGGAGCTGAAAAAGCTGCCCAAGGGTGAGTAATTACTCAATAGCTGCTACTCTCACAAAACTGGATTGAGTTTTTTTATATTGCTCTTCCTGAGCAATAGCAGTGCTCCATGCATTGATAGGGTGCTGTACAAAGCCCAAAAGAGACCTGCTGTCCCACTTGAGCACGGGGAACAATGAGGAGGGTTCATCTCAGCTTTAATTTCAAATTCTGCCTCAAATTTGCTATCTGGCTTTGACCTCTCCCTGCCACTCTGTACTTCAGAGTGTTGTTTATATGCTCATGTAGTCTTCCAACTTTCTCCGGTTGTTAAAAGCAACAGTAGAATCTGGAGATGCAGCATCCTGGTGGCTTTCATCCTCAAGGAGACTTATTCTCCAGGATTTAGCCCTTTGAGGCCTAAAGATTCAGATTCAAGGCAGAGAGACTGAGCTCCACATGGACACGTGCAGGGTGAATACACCCATCCATGTAACAGTCTTACTGTATTCAGTTTCCAATTTTGGTTAGGTAATGCATGGAAAATAGGTATCCAGAACCCCTTTAAGGGCAAATTGTCTGTTTTGACATTTTTTGTTTTAAATCTTGTTTTTAAATCAGGATACTGCTAACATGGGCTACAGTACAAGAATGTAGTCACCCACTAGATACCTCTTCTATCAGCTCCAGCCAACGCTCTCTGGAGTCCATGGGATAAATGTCTCTGGCCCAGGAGAGTCCATCAAAAGTTTTTCAAGAACATATTTTCCTTTTCACCAAACACCCCATTTAATACTGCTCTCTGATGTGTTTCTCCTGCACAACACACAAACCCAGCAGCATTTACTGTCTTAGTCTTAAAGATGATTCTCTGTTGTGAGAAGCAACACTGTTGTCTCGTTTGAATAATGCTTTCATTTGAGGCCCTGGAATTAGAGGGAATATTAAGTAACAGGAGGGATTTCAGAGGGCAGCAGCTGTGATGGAGCAGAGCAGGAAGAAAGAGGCATAAGGAAATAATAAGTGAGAGACTTGGACAAGCACAAGCAGACTGCAAGTCTAGGGAGGGTGCTAACTCCCTTAAGAAATGGGACCATTATTAAAAGGAAGTAGACGAGATAAAGTTAGAAAACAATTATAGGGAATGCCAGAAAACACTTTGTGACAGTGGGATACATTAGGCTGTGAGAGACTCACAGGGGATCCTGAGGAATTCCAGCACATTCATAACTACTCTCTAGGATGGACTGGACAATTTAATGGACTTCTTTCATCTCCAGTGTATCAATCCAGTCCAATAGCTTGGAAATAAAATTGCTGTTTGTCTCCTGTTAGCTCTGAGGAGACACCAAGGAGAGCAGACCCAAACCTTCCATTTTAGGTGCCATCCAAACTCAAAGCCAGAGACAGACAGATGACTCGTAGTGCCAGGAGAACAGAGACTGTTGGGGAAATAAAACAGGACCTAAGAATAACTTCCTGAATGTTGCTTCTCTCCAAGATACAATATCCTCACAAAGGAGGAGAGCCAGCCTGTGTATGACCCCAAGTTTTTTGGAGGGCACTGCGAGCAGGTCTACAACGGGGAGTGGCGAGAGCTGCGCTACGACGCCGCGTGCGAGCGTCTCTACTACGCGGACGATGAGAAGTATTTCCGCAAACCTTACAACTTCCACATATACCAGTTCCTGGTAAGTCCAACTGAGCAGTGGTTGCCCAGCCACAACTTCCTACAAAGACGTTAGGTACAGTTTACCGTTCACTACAGGCTACCTTTCAAGTTGCCTCTCTCCAGCTGTCCCCAAGACAACAGGCAATCAATGATATAAATGCTGTTTTATGGCACATCAAGGAACTAATGTGCTTTATCACTCAAGCATCCCTGCTGCTTACTCTGGTCTAGTCAGAGCCAAGAGAAATGGGTTTTCTCCAAATTCAGCTGTTAATGAGCTGTAGAAACTCACAAGTCACTTGCCCCTCTAGGGACAAAGCTGGCCATGAGTCAAAGGGGAACAACGCCACAGGTTCCAGTTTTGAAAGCGTGTGAAGTCCATGGTATGGCTTACAAAAGGACATAAATCCAAATTCTGACTGAGACAGAGATCCTGAAAGCTATCAGGCAACACCAATACTCTGGGAGGTCACATTTGATGTTAGAAACTGAACTAAGTAGAGCAGGGATTCAACCTGGGTCTCCCACCTTGTAAATGGGTGCCGTGGCCATAACAATGAACATTCATCATGCTTTTGGACATGAACTAATGAAACATTATTCCAGAGGGAATATTAAAGCCACTGGCTCAATGCAAGTGGCTTCCATGTCCTGCCAGCAGGCAGACCCCCCTGTGCCCCTTAGTCACCAGTCTGAACCCACACAGACCCACCACATGGTCCACATTTTCTTCTCCCCTTTATCCGCTGCTACCAGTGGAAGAACATCTGCACCACGGTCAGGCACCGAGGGACACCTGAGCATAACCTGTAAGCATCTTGACTTGGGAACTTCTACCCACCAGGACCTAGGAAGTCACTGACGACGGTGTGAGATGGTTTTGTTTAGTGTTGGTAATTTAGCAAGGCTGCTCAATTCCACACACCAGCAAAGAAGAGCTGTCAAGGCAAAGGTCACTACTCCAAAACCCAGGCAAAACAATGTTTGTTTTCCAGCGTTGCCATCACAAGTGGCTGGATCACTGCTGTTGAACTTTTTGCCTAAATAAATTCATCCAGAAGCAGGCTGGAGAGACAAAAGACTCCAAATAGTCAGGATATTGCAAAAATCTAAGGAATTGGAAGGAGACAAGGCCCTGCTACCAGCCCTGCCTGTGATGGTTCTGCTTTGAGTGGCTAAACGAAAACCCTTCCCCTGCCTGGGGATGGAGGAAGCCAAATGCATTTCTCACATATTCCAAATGAAATGGCACGTGACCCAATTCTTTATTCCACACTCACTGAAGTCAGTGTCGATGCTCTCATGAGCATCACAGGCTTCAGCAGAGGCACCGACAGCTCCTTAAAGAAATAAAGATGAAAAAGGAAGGGAAATACCTGAAAAATTAATGTCTGTTCCTTTCACTTTAGGCTCACGCTGATTCTGGATTTTCTTCTGAGTTTTACGACGACTCAAAGGATCTGCTCGACGCCCTTAAAAGTGACAAATCCCAAACAGTAGGCTTTACCATTGGGATTGGGCCAGGAAAATCAAATCTCCAGTTAAACCTGGGCCTCACTTTATCAGGTGGCAAAGGATCACTGAAGAATTTCACACAATACTCTGCAAAGGTAAAAAAACCCCAAACAACAATCCATCAGTGATGCATGTGCTCCAGTTGTGTCATCTGTGCATCGTGTGGTCTGGCTGTAACTTCTGGCAGCTTTTTCTCTCAACTACTCTTTTTTTTTTACACATAGTAAATGGTACCTTAATTTGTTTGTGTAATTGCCAATGTATGATCGTTAGTAATCCTGTTTGTTGTTCTTATTATGTCTTAGCAAACAGGGAGTGGGAATAAAATTGAATTACGCAGCACCACAACACGACTCCTCACCCCATCCTGTTTCATGGCTACATTAAGCACATAAATAAAAAAATGCTTAAAATGATGAGGAGGGAGGAGGCAGTTGATCAAAACCAGTCGTCCTCAGGGAACAGTCTCCAGTAGCAAATATATCTTGTTCAAATTAATACAAGCTGCCTGATGATGGGGAAATGTGCTACCTTTTTATGGAGGGTTAAAATACTGTGCTGAAAAAAGAGTCCCTGATAATAGGGTGTATTTCTCACAGTGGGTTCACATCATGGACTAGCTGTGATGACCTCTTTCCAGTCTAATAACAGGAATGCTGGTATCTCCCACATTTACCGTGCCCTGTCTCCACTTCTCTTGTGGCTCCTAACAGAAAACAATAAAGAAGAATTACTTTAGTGTTCTGAGTTGAAATGCCCTTAAAAGCTGTTGGAAATGGGCACCATTCTAGTATTTACTGTGCCCTTGCCTAGAGTCACACAATGTTTGCAGCTAAACAATGATCAATTATTGGAGGAATCATTTAAAGGGTTGTTCTGGTTGCACTGGAGCCTCCAAGGCAATGGCCAGTCTAGAAGTGGAGTCACAGATCTGGTGGGATATCCAGGAAATCCTGCTCCTGCCAGTGCCTCCCTGCTCAGGGTGTCCCAAGAAAAAGGGAATAAACAGTACGGGAAGGAAA